AGTGTCTTAGCTCTAGACCAACACCCAAGGTCAACCCTAAGGTCAAATAGCCCTATAGGAACTATCCTTGAGCTCCCCCATAATGGCCCCATCTACTAAGTGCTAGAGGTTAGGACCAATATGTGGAACTTCAAGTTGAGTAAAGAAGAGTTTAGAATTTCTAATGGTGGGGGTGCCTTTTTCTAGTTTCTAAGAATAGTCAATAAGAAAGTCCTATGGCTAGACCCAAGGCTACTAAAGAGAAAGACTAGACCTCAACAAAAAGTGAGGTCAACAAGGAATAGATTTGAAAAGATAGAACCTTCCTTCTGCCAAAAATAGATCTGAAAAGAGATGGTGTTTTTTGATGAAATAGGGCCAGTCATGTAAGAATTCCAAAACTTCAAAGCAAGTTTTTGGGGTTTAAAAAATTTGGTCCATAAAGGATAGTTATGTAGCTCAGTGGCTTGAAAAAAGTTAGGATAGTTATAAATATTCATAAAAATTATTTATTAAGAATTTCATGTTTATATTAAAATTTTAAAAAGGGACTTATGTGGTCTTGATGAAGACTAGGTCCTATTAGAAAATTGATTAGGTGGAGAACCTAATAATGGAATTATGGCTTTAATAAATTCATTATGGATGGGATAAATGCTTAAAAATACTTATTTATGGTTTATTAAAATCTCTAATTTGCATTTGAATCATTTTAGAAATGTAAAATGCTTTTAAGAAAGACAAATTGTGTTTTGAGTTAGACTATGTCTTGTTTAATCTTATGTATCTTAAGAGCTCTCCAAGGGTTTTTTAGAGGACTTAAGGTAGATTGGATTGGTGAAAAAGATGTTAGAACATGGGTTAAAATTATATATGATAATCAAAATAGTAATATAAAGCTAATGGGATTATTTGGTTGATGTCAGCTACATGAAGGTTGGAATGTTGGGCTAGTCTTTAGCAAGAGGCTTTAAATGGGCTTGCAAGTTGTTTAAACACCAATAGAGGTTATAATTTGATGATGAATGGTATACAAGTTTATACTTACCATAGTGAAAATAAAGAAATAAATAAATTCCTCCATAAAAAGGTTTGGCAACAAAGCTACCTTCTCTCAAGTTATTTTTTTATTAAATCTACATGAATTCCTTCCTTCTATTCCAAGAAAAAATTATTCTTTTCAATTAATTTGACAACCATAGTTTAACTAGGTAACAAAGAAAGATGCTTTTGTTAAACCACACTTTCAAACATGTAGTGGTTATCCACTTTTAATTATAAATTGATTATTTCATTCAATTAAAATAAAAACCCCATTTTAAATTTCTATTTACATATTATTCCTTCAATTTTTAAAAATTATATCACTAGTTCTAAAATTAGTTTTTTACAATTTTTTAAATGCTTAAATTCAAAGCTTATAATAAATATCATAGTCTCATAAATATCAGCTACACATTAATTAAAACTATATGCTAATTAAACTTTTTCATTGAGCTTCTTCTAATAGGTCCCTAATCAGCTGCAACTTTTTTCATGCTTTGAGCATTCAGAGTAAGTTCTCGTCTTTCTTTACCGGCTCCTCATGCCATATCAGTAATGCATAATGTATCCAATATTCTATTTCCATTTTTACATGTAAAAATATATGTGTAGTTAATATTTTTTAAAGCACTTCAAAAACAAAATTCAGTCATTAAGAATTTATTCATGTTAAATCTAGTTCCTTTGGTTCTCATCTATAAAAAGAGATGCTTATATGATTATAATTTTGGATTTTTATGAAAATGAATTGTATCATATATGAAATAAATTTTATATGTGGTCATAAATGGATGGTATAATCATTTTCATGCAAACTTTTGTAGGAGTCAAAAGGATTATTACCAAAGTTTAGTGGTATGATAAAAGAGCATAATTCCATAGTACTTAAATTTCAAAGTGTGTCGCATAGATTTACTTTTAAGTGGTGAATTTTCAAATTGAAGAACATTTCTCTATTACTAATTAATGTTTACAAAATACCTAAGACTATATTGAATTTAATATTTAATTATAATTTTATTTAATTAATCATCAATTAATAAACTATGGTTGAATTATATATAAATATTTAATTATAATTTTTTTAATTTGAATATTTTTAAAAATACTTTCTATATCATTTTAAATTCATGAAATAATATAATTAGGATGTTAAAATTAAAAAAATGTTTTTTAAATAAATGTTTTATTATTATTTTAATATTAATTAAGATATTAAAGAATTATCATAAAATGGTATAATTTATTTTTCTGCTAATAAGTTATTGCTGTTATAGAACCTTATTTTGTCATTTACTCCATTGCATTTATTGGATTTTGTAGATTCAATTCGATAGGTTACATGTTCTACTTTGAATTTGAAAGAAATCTGATATGATGTTTCGAATATTCTTTGTTTTCTACTAGTTGACTAGCTATTAAATACTCTTTTTGTTCTATTTTGTCTACATATTTACTAACCATTCAGATCTAATAATATTTTAATAAAATAAATTTTTATTGAATATTATACTATTAATGGATAAACTAATGTTAGAATATTACTATGCAATAAAAATGGTTTAAAATTATCCTTTGGTTATAAATAGCCTCAATTTCTTTATGAAGTGCTCTTAATTCTAAAAATGGCATCATATGCTCTTCTTTTTTCTTCTTTCTTTTCAAGCGAAAATCTTAAGAAGAGAAATTCAAATTTTCATTTCAAGTGCTCTATATATTTACATGATTGTATTCCTTGGTTCAGAGGCCTCTGTACACTCAATCAAGCAAAATTTCTTGAAACATTTGAGTTTGTTTCTCTTTACTTTAAGTATTTATTTGCTACTCTTAATCTTTTTTATCCTTTATAGAAGTCTTATTTTTGGATGAAATAGTGTTTGAGCATTATAGATTAAGTCATGTGGTTAAATTCTTCCATTCATAAATTTACAAGCAAGTTTTTTAATTTTAATATAGATCTACATTCAAAATATAATAAATATAAAGAAACATCAGTGAAAAAGTGAGCCTAATTATTTCAACTGAAAATGATAATAACATCCTTTACATAAGCCACACTATAAATACATTTTAAATTGAGCAAAATTATTTTCTATTTGTTAGTTGTGAGGGGATTAAGAATACTTTAAAAATTGACCTAAAATTATTTTTAGTTCATTGTTTTATAAGATTATTTGAGTTTGTATAACCCATAAAATTATGTATATTTCATTATATATATATATATATATTTTATCTAAGCCAATTGGTTTAGTAAAAGTCATATTTTATTTAGATTGAGTGTACCACCCATGTAAGAGAGTGCTTATGTTTTCCAACTTGAAGAAGTAAAGTTTGTTGGCAAACCTTGGATTTAGTGGACTAGAGTAGAAATAAGCATGTTTTGGCATATTGGCACTTACTTGCAATTTTTAAATTTTTCATTATTTAATACTCTTACAAAATAACATTAAAATAATATAATTGTTTTAATTAATCAAATAAATTAGTATCAAAGTCAATAATTTTCTCAACCAAAATATATGTGTGATCGTCAAAATAACATAGCACTATCGTAGCCTCATGAGTTCATAGTAACTAAAAGCAAGGTTACTAACTATTTAAGTAACTTTTGAATTGGATTTGGACAAATGTTGAGCATAATTCAAGAAGCTTTGGAGCTTCTCTTGACAAAGATCAAGTAAATCATTGCGGCATTCTTTCTAATCACATACAAAATGTTGACGATATTTGTAAGGAGAACGATCGGTTGCTTAGGCAGAATTGTTCAACCAAAATATAATCATACCAAGGTCATTTTCATACAAATTGAAAGTTTTTTTTTTATCATATTTCAACAAATAAATAAAATAACAAGCATATTTGTCAAACATAACTATCATGAGGCATAAAAAGTCAACTTTTCATAATGTTTTCCACTTCAAATAATCAAACATAATATATACTCTTGTAATGCGGCATGACAAACTCATCAAATCCTTGATACCAGCATCACAAGTTTCGAATCCATCCAACCCTCTACCCAATATGTAAGATATTCCATCATGGTACATTTCATATTATAAAAAATATTGAACCTGTCCCTATGGTTCGCTTATATGATAATAATGGTTATACAACATAATTTAATCATTAGTAAAATAAAAACAATCTAAAATTGTCAAATTGCAAATTTCTTCCAACTAAAATAGCCGTATACATACACTGGGACAAGCGGAACAAAAATTTCATCATCTTAGCGATCGACGGCTTATTGTTTTCTCCTTCAAAAGCAACAATTTGGTGCTTTATTTAAGTTTTACAGAAGTAATTAGCACGACCACTAAGACAACCATAGACGATACACGTACAAGTAAACTATACAGAGGCTATATGTATAAACTTGGATAAACATAGACTCGACACGACTTCTTCACATTGAAGGAAAACCAGGAATCAACAAACAAGAAGGAAATGGAATGACAATTGTTAGAAAATAACAATGGGAACTTCCCTCAGTTAATATTTGAATGAGTAGTTTGTTTCTCACACCTCTTCATAGACTTTGCTTCAACTTAATTAGTGTGAGGCTGCCAAGTAATTTACAAGATAAACCATCCAGTTTTTAATGAATTCTCGGGGTCACATAGAAGTGGCTGCCATGGACATACCTGCATCTGCCATGGGCATAACAGATGACCCAGAAGGATTGTGAAAGAGAAGGTGGGCGACAATCCGGTCAATAGGATTGGTGACTGCCTCACAGTCTAGCAACCTCGAATATCTGCAGAGAATAATGCTATTAATTCACAGTATGTGGCTGAATTCATATTGAGGAAGGAGAATAATGAGAATGGGATTTCGGTTCATGGTTCTTCGTTGATATGTGTACTTCTTTTGAATCTGAGAAGTTATACCTGTTCTTGTTGTTTGATTCTTCGTCTGTAGAAATCTTGTCTTCTTCCTGGTTGCTCTTGTTAGTGCTGCTTCTGTCACTATTTTTTTGCCTTTCCATGGCACTTCTGGCTAGACGATACAAGCTATCACGAATGCTGAGCCTAACATTCATGTCCAACTGCAAAAGGGAACATTATGCATTTCAAATAATAATAATTATTATTATTGAGAAAAGTGTCAAAATGATACTGTGACTATTTGTTGAGGGTCATTTTAGTCCTTGAGGTTAGAAGTGTCAAATTTGTCGAAGATTCTTTTAATAGGGGTTAAAATATCCTCCTTGGGAACCATCCCAACTAATATTAAAGGAGTTTGGGGACTAATTTAAGACACTTTTATAGACTCTATGTAAATAGTCGATGGACAATTTTGGAACTTAGACACAACCAATATGAAACTGAAGTTGCCAACCTTTCCCATGGCATCTAGTAGCTGAAAATATATGGTTTCTTCTACGGAGCGGTCGCCGAGCGAAGAAGAAATCATCTGAGACTGATCTTGGTCTGCCAGACTGCTAGCATCTGATGATGAAAGCTTTCGTGCATGCTCTTCCCCAACAGCAGTGGCTCTGGCTAGACCCTGATTCTGGTTATTTTGCAAATAGGCCATCGAGGGAGCTTCATCAGCACCAGAGATTTGATGATTATATTGCTCTCGTTGCTTTTGAATGGCAAGCATAGCTTGCATTTGCTGCCTTCGTCTCAGTTTTTCGATCTTTTCTCGAGGGGTCATACCCAATGGTTTAGAAGCAGTTACGACGGATTTTTGATGCTTCGAGAAATTTAGATGGTTCCCTATTGGATGGATTTGTGGGGGAAATGGCATACCATGTAACTGATATGTGGGATATCCGTAATCTGTGAGCATGACAGGATGAGATGTGTTTGGTTGTTCCAAGGGTTGGGATTGAAATGTTGATAGAGGATTCACAGTTGAAGCTTGCAGTCTAGGGCTTGATAATTGTTGGTTTTTATTAAATGATATATTATTCACGGCTTGTGAAGATCCGCCTTTTCCTTTTTCTTCCTGCTTCTTCTTCATAGTCCTAAAAGTTTGATTTTCTATATCTGCCTGCAAAATTGAGAAGAGTGGCAACGTGAGGTAATTTAAATTAGCAGAAGCAATGTAACTTAAAAGACCATGCAAAAGAATTGTGGGAGGGAAAACTGCTACTTCATAGTAAAGACAAACAGAGTGTAGGGTAT